AATTTTAAAAGTGATTAATTCATTTCTGAGACAGATTAAATCCCTTGCTAAAAGAAATGTTGAGGAATATGAGCATATTGGATAATCAAATATTGTGGCCAAAGAAGTTATTACATTTGAGTCATAAACAGTTGCAACTTTCAAATCTTTCATTCTTTTAAGTAGCCTTTTAGTTATAAAGTATCTACTATCTACTTTGGGCAAAACAGTTTGGAAATTTTAATGCTTTTATAAAATCCAGTTTAAATCAGAGATAAACATTATGATTCTGTATTTAACAATTGCTATAATGAAGGAATGTACAAAATACACCTGTTACTTAGATAGCTGAATACCCAACTTCTTGAGAGGAAAGGCCCAATGGCTTTTCAACTTGGAAGAATGAGTGTAAGGTTCCCAGCAGAGGAGTGGAGAAAGTAGTCATGAAGACATAAGAACATGGCACATTGAGAAACTATTTCTTGCTTGGGGTAGCTGCAGTATGAATTGGAAAGGAAAATTTAAGAGTAGTGATAACAAAACTCTGAACAAAAACCAGTTCATGAAGGCCTTCATGCCATGAAAAATAGACTTTTATTCAGTAGGATGTAACCAGTTAAATTACATATTCATATTTCCGTGCTCATTACAATATTGCAAAAGAAGAAACAGACTAGAAGCTTTGGTAATAGCACATTCCATGAAGATGAGGGTTTAAATTATAGTTGAGATGGCTGAGATATATTTTTGTAAAATAAATCAATATAATTTTATGATTCATCTGCTATGATTAGGACAAGGAAAGAAATGAGTTCCAAATACCTGGCTTAGGCAATTTGGAGGATGAAGATAACAGACTGGATAGATTGAGCCTTTTGAAAATGTTTATTTCAATTAATGGTTAAATTAAATAGCCTGGTTTAAATAATTTATCAATATCCAGCATTAACTCTCAGAGAGCATTTCCAAAACCTCTGTATTACAGCTTATAGGTAGTATAGTTGGAAAAGCAGGTTATTGGGGGACTAATCTTTGTAGTACATGAGCAAGATAATGATAAAAAATCAAGTTGTATGCTGGGGCTGATAAATATAGGGTTATAGTCCTATTTCCATTATGCCACCCTATGGAATAAGGCCAGAATAATAATTATCTTCATTTGACTGATTTTTACTTAATTTCTTATAATTTTATCATATTTATACCTTGTATGAAGAATATTTATGATCATTCCACATATATTCAGTACTCTAAAATGTGAATTTAAGCTTTATACATTTCTTTTATATTTTTAAATGTATTATTCAATACAGAGCTAGTATGTTATAAAAAATAATAATACTGAAAAAGTCTCCTGGTATGAAGATTTCAAAGAATCAGATTTCAAATCTCAATCTCTTAAAGCCTCTTTTTCCTTCTGTAAACTGGGGAAAGAGTGTAAAATTACTGTGAAAAATAAGTAAAAGTATCAAATACTGGATACATAGATGTTTAATAATTTATTTTGGATGAATTGCATATAAAATTCACATATAAACAAAACTTCATACATATATGAATTATACACATAAATTATATACATACATAAACCACATATATATGCTCAAATACATCCTATATAACAAAAGGGCAATATGCAAATCAACTGAACAGCAGTACAACTGGCTGCTATGACATGACCACCAGGGGGCAGATGCTTAATGCAGGAGCTGCTCCCTGGTGGTCAGTGGGCTCCCATAGTGGGAGCGCTGCCCAGCCACAAGCTGGGCTGATGGCTGGCAAAGGCAGTGGTGGTGGCGGAAGCCTCTGCCACCTCTGCTGTAGAGCTAAGGATGTCCAACTCGCTCAAGCCATTAGTTGGATACCCCCTGAGGGCTCCCAGACTGCTAAAGGGTGCAGGCTAGGCTGAGAGACCCTGACACCCCTCCCCCCCGCCCCCGAATGTCGTGCACTGGGCCTCTAGTACATATACTGTATAATTTATGTATATAATTTTGTTTTATAAATAGATTTGGGAACATTAAGTTATTTTTAATCTTAATTCGGGGAAAGGGAGGCTTAAACAGGACTATTTCTTCCCATTGACTTTTCTTCAAAATAACTAACTTTTAGAAACAAAATATCCAATAATTACTAGCCCTGAAGCACTTTAAAAGGTGGCTTCACTATCAGTAAAACAGACTGTTAAGTAGCATCTTCGCACTTAGCTACTAGACAACCAAGAATTGGAATGTGTACTTTCCAAGATTCTAAAATATATTCTAGTTATTTTCTTTGACTCCTTAGATTTCATTTTGTTCACCTATAAAGTAAAAAAGTTTACCCAGCTACAGAGAAGAGCTCATCAGAATGGATTTTTGAATCAGAACTTTAGGGATAGTTTCCATAAATCTTTATTTTTAATTCCCTAAGTTCCTCTCATAACCAACCAGGCTTGGGACCAACTAGCCTAAACAATTACTATAACTTCTCCCCTTGCTCCTTTCAAACATAGAACTGGTATTTGGAAATATATGCTCATTCTATGACCTATGGCCATTAATCACTTTTGTCTATTGTTTTTCTTCATGAATCCTTATGCACTGGCTTAATAGGTGTGCTAATTAAAAGCTTTAGCCTGGCCAGTGAGCGTCAACCTATGAAGCAGGAGATCCATGGTTCCATTTCCGGGTTGTGGCCTCGATCCCAAGTAGGAGGTGTGCAGGAAACAGCCAATCAATGATTCTCTCTCATCTTTGATATTTCCCTCTCTCCCTTTTCCTTCCTCTCTGAAATCAATAAAAATACATTTAAAAATTTTTACTAGTAAAATAAAAATAAAAAGTATGCTTTATGGTATAACAAATTGTTTTCATGAAATATTATGTGCCAATAATGCATTTAAGCAAAATACTTCAAAACATGCTGCACAAAGAACTTACTGATTATATTTATTTAATAACAAAATATCTAATTAAGAAAATGTCTTTAAGAACTTACAATAAAATTTTCAAAACCCTAAAATAAAAATATTAAATAAATTACTTTATAGTAGAGGATATTATAAACTTATTTATGTAATACAGCAGGCAGACTTTGTGCTAGAATCAGTGGATGGGATCTAAATTAAACAAAAAATTCAAAGAATGGGTATTCATAAATTTCTGGTTAATAGAAGCTTAATATTGTTAAGGAGCAGGTGATATTTAAGCATCAAATTTTATTTATGAAAATAAATACTTTCTCAAACATCAGAAGTATAGTTCTCTGCTTTAGAAAATATTTTTTTCCCTTTTATAAATCAGAATCCCACTATTCATTTATCAAATATATAAATAGTATCTGGTTAATTTCTTAAACTTAACTACCAATGTCACTCTTCAGATGCTGATTCTGTTACATTTCCCTATGTTTTTCTGCCAATGAAACGAGGGTCTTAGAGATATTTTATTTATGAATAATTCACCAAGTATTTATTGAAAGCCTACTACATTTTCAGGATTAGAAAGAGCAAGACAAACACAAGGCCTGCTCCAGAGAGCTCACCATCTAAAATACAGCAAATTCAGCACTGATTCTGAATCACTCTGAGCCTTCATTTCATTTTTAAAGATTTGAATAGTTATTGATTTCTGCTGTAAGAGTAAATAAAAACATTCCTTAGGTATATCATTCTTTAGATTCTCATAAAGGGAATTTTCAAATCTGTATGTTGAAAAGGCCTATAATTTGCTTTTTCCAATTGCCTTCTGCTACTTATGACATTCTCTATTATCCCCTTCTGCTCTCCCAACACAACACAGCCTCTGCACTTTTGCTTATCCAGCTGGCTTTTCTGACTACACTTTGCGACAGCTTTCTGTTCCCCTTCACTGTTGTTTTTTGCTACCTGGGCTTAGCCATCTTCCCTTTCTTGGCTTCTTATTCACTTGATTAATCTTAACATTTCCTTAAATGTAGGACCTTCAGTGAGTATAATTAATCATTATTTCCACTAGCATTTTCTTGATCTTTGTTGTGAATTTCAGATCCTCTTTACAATAGGCTCTTGCTCAATGTAGTTTCCAAATATCCCCAGAAAGACAATGTTTCTTGAAAATTCCTGTCTTAAAGTCTGTATTAAAAGAGACTGATAAAGGAATGCGTTACTCAGCAAAGGACGCTTCTACTTTATTTTCAATTCTTAACATTACAAGAATTGGATTCTGCAGGATCATAGTTAAAACCCTTTGGTGAGGGCTATCAATCTACTCATAAAGCCTAGGTAAAAAAAACTCAAATTTTGGAATTTTGGCTCTCTGATATTAAATTAAAAATTATATAAACACATGAAGTTTGAAACTTAAAAAAATACCTACATGTAAAAAGTTAAGACATATAAGTATTCATTGATATGTCTATATCCTTTATTATAAATAGTATATGATTAAGAATTCAATTATTTTTTTAAAAAAAATAGATACTGATTTTTTACAGAGAGGAAGAGGGAGCGATAGTTAGAAACATTGATCAGCTGCTTTCTGCACACTTCCTATTGGGGATGTGCCCATAACCAAGGTACATGCCCTTGACCAGAATTGAACCTGGAACCTTTCAGTCTGCAGGCCAACGCTCTATTCACTGAGCCAAACTGGTTAGGACTCAACTATTTTTGAGTCTACAAATCAGATCCTTGGAGTAACCTACCCTCTATAATCCATAAGCCTTTTAAAATTTTACCTTAAAGACAAATAAAAAGATTCAATAAGTTTAATCTTCCAAATGTTCTCAGAAAGAATTATCCTCCAGTAATAAAACACCAGCGGTATGTGCTGTGAGGTAGCAATGAAAGACTAAGATCTTCTGTAAAAATGATACCCTCAATGCATAAGCATTCTCTCTTCATATGAAGAGTCAGGACAACAAGAATGGACAGTGAGTTACTTTTCATTATTTCATCAATTATTGGTGTTTTCATAGTATTTTAAATGCCTGATGTCAGTTTTACAACAGCAATACCAATATTTATTTTGAAAGGTAATTCTATCTTTATGTAGAGGATATTAACAACTTCCAACACGATCTCTAGGAATAATTCGCAGTTCTGAACCATGCTTTAGGAAAACATTTCCTACAAACAAACAAAACATAAAGTTAGGTGTTTAAAAAACAGGTTATCATAACATTCCACTAATTATTATATACAATTAACAAAGCATTGTAAAAAAACAAACAAAAAATAATAAAGCACTGTAAAGTAAGTAGGTACAAAAACACAAGCATAATCAGAAACTAATTTCCTGCTTTCAAAGCCTTGTTGCTATTCCATTCACATCTTTAGGACCTAACCATATGTCTGAAAATTTTAAATATGAACATTAGCCACAAAAATGCTAAGCCAAAACTGGTTTGGCTCAGTGGATAGAGTGTCGGTCTGCGGACTGAAAGGTCCCGGGTTCGATTCCGATCAAGGGCATGTATCTTGGTTGCGGGCACATCCCAGTAGGGGGTGTGCAAGTGGCAGCTGATTGATGATCCTCTCTCATCGATGTTTCTAGCTCTCTATCTCTCTCTCTTCCTCTCTGTAAAAAAATCAATAAAAATATATTTAAAAAAAAGAAAAGGCTAACTTATACACTCAGCAAAGCACAATGTAAATCAATTTAAACATCAATACTTGCTTTAGTACACAATAAGGACAAAAAAGGATGAATTTAAATTACCACAAGTGACATAAGTTTAGAAACCCTGACCTATTTTGGTTCAATTAAATGATGAGATTTACTATGTGTCCCATAAAGTACACCTTTCATCTTTTAAAGGAATACAACTGATAACATATTACAATAAGCAATAATTCATATTAACATAAATTGAACATTTCTAGAGTAAGAAAACAAAACCTTTAAACCTAAATTTAAAGGCATTTATGTTATAAAAAGCCTCATGATTTTCAATGAACCTTTATAATTTAATAAAATTTATAATCTATGTACAACTGAGTTAAATTCTAAAAAATTACAATTACAATTTTAAATCCTTCATTTTTACATGACCAAATTTTAGTCCCACGATCTATGAGAACAATGTAATTTTGTTATAAGACAGAAGTACTTTAGAAAATAATTTAAACAAAAATACTACTCAAGATTGAAGTTCATTATATTAAAGCATGCTTAACTTCAAAAGACTATAATGAAATTACATAAGCCAAAAAAAAGGGTACATTTTAAAAAATATATATAAAACTGCCTGTTAAAAAGTGGAAGATGACCCTGCTTGCCCTAGCCAGTTTGGCCCAGAGTAGAGAGCATTGATGTGTGGACTGAAGGGTCCCAGGTTCGATTAGGGTTAAGGACTCATAACCTGGTGGGAGACATGCAGGAGGCAGCTATTCAATGATGCTCTCATCATTGATGTTTCTCTCTCCCTCTCCCTTTCTCTCTAAAATCAATCAATAATAATAATAATAATAATAATAATAATCCTTTCTAATAAGAGTAATATGCAAATTAACCATTCAGTTACACTTACAAGCCACACCCACCAGCCAATCAGAAGTATGCAAATTAACCCAACCAAGATGGCTGCGAACAGGAAGCTTGGGTTGCCCCTGATGATGGAGGGAGCCAAGCTTTCCACACACCCTGGCCAGCCCAGGCCTCCAATCAAGGGTACAAAGTTTCAATTATAGAAGATAAAGAAATCCCAACAAAAATGGCTTCAGTCACAGAGCAAGCAGGAGTCTTAGCTCCACTAAAGGCTACAAAGTTTCAACTATAGGAGAAAAATAAATCCCAGATACTAGGACCTCCACTTGGGTCACAGGGGGACATAGCTGGCCTGAAAAATACCACAGGCCCCTCGCTCAGGCCGCCCCATGCCCAAGGGAACCTCTACCCTATCTGGGACACCCTTCAGGGCAAACCAACTGGCCCCCACCCATGCACCAGGCCTCTATCCTATCTAATAAAAGAGTAATATGCAGATTGACCATCACTCCAACATACAAGATGGCCAGCAGGGGAGAGAAGTTGAAAGGGACCAGGCCTGCCAGGGGGGCAATCAAGCCTGCAGGAGGGAAGTTGGGGGTAAACAGGCTGACCAGGGGAGCAATTAGACATCAATCAGGCAGGCAGGGGAGTGGTTAGGGAGTGACCAGGCTGGCAGGCAGAAGTAGTTAGGGGCAATCAGGAAGGCAGGCAGGTGAGTAGTTGGGAGGCAGCAGTCCTGGATTGTGAGAGGGATGACCAACTGCCCGTTTAGACCTGATTCTGGTGGAATTGGGTCTAAATGGGCAATTGAACATCACTTGAGGGGTCGGTCCCAGATTGGAGAGGGTGCAGGCTGGACTGAGGGACACATACCCCATGCACGAATATCGTGCACCGGGCTTCTAGTAATAATAATAAAGATGACCCTGCTTTCTTGTTAGGACGCCAATATATAGCACTGCATAATGTTAAATTTGAACCTCTGAGTATGGACTAAGCCCTCTGAAATTTAAATGACCATACATCTTTAAAATAGCACTTATTGAATGCTCACTATGGATAAGGCAATCTATTAAGCACTTTACATGTCCTACTACCTCACAATACCTTATGAGGTAGGTCAAAACCATTACTCCAATAAGAGTACAATCTTACCTTTAGAATTTTTGTTATGAGTGTTAATATCTTTAATGCTTATTTTTTTAAAAATATATTTTATTGATTTTACACAGAGAGGAATTGAGAGGGACAGAGAGTTAGAAATGTCGATAAGAAAGAAACATCGACCAGCTGCCTCTTGCACACCCCCCACTGGGGATGTGCCCGCAACCAAGGTACATGCCCTTGACTGGAATCGAACCTGGGACCTTTCAGTCTGCAGGCCGACGCTCTATCCACTGAGCCAACCCGGACCCAGCTCTTTAATGCTTATTAGTCAGGGTTTCCCTTAGTCAAAGGCATAACTTATTCACATAATGAAACAAATTATTATTTAGACCCATAGGTGAAGACTGGCATATAATCCCTAAAAGAACATCTATGATCTTGGTAAAATCCTATCCAGTCCAATCAACTGACATATATAGCTCCACCCACATCTCCATGAATTTTAGAAACTTACCAGCAGTATGTGCAGGATTTATTCCTATTCCATCTAGAAAATAAATGATAAAATCATCTAAATTATTTCTAAAGCTAAAATGGTTCAACAGTAATAAGAGACTGGCCAAAATACTGCTGCAGTGTATATAAGCAAAAGCCAAAACAATAAAAAATAATTTATAGCCCTGACCAGGAATAAAACCGTGACCTCCTGGTTCATAGGTTGAAGCTCAACCACTGAGCCACACCTGCTGGGCAAGCCAAACAATTTAAATCCAAAAACATGAAGGACAATCTTTCGGATAAATTATCTGTTGAAATCTATTACTATTGTGCATTCACACACAGTGCTAGATTAAACAAGGGTATCTGTCAATGAAATGATCCTGGTAAGGTCAACATACATATATATGTTTTTTTATTGTGTTATGCTATACAAAGTGAAAAATACACCTCAGGTATGTCATTAATCACTTAGTTATTGCTCTGAGGCTTACAAATCTTATGGCCACAAGAGCCCATAAATTCATCTACCCTGTCTCCCCGAAAATAAGACAGTGTCTTATATTAATTTTTTCTCCCAAAGTTGCACTAGGTCTTATTTTCAGGGGATGTCTTATCTTTCCATGCGTTAGGTCTCATTTTCGGGGAAACACAGTAATTCAAGTTCTACTGACACGTGATAAAAGTTTACAAAGCACCTATGAATCTAAAACTTTGTAGATATTAGGCTAGCTTTGTTCTAACTAGAGTATACATTCTATATACTGTCACTTCAATGTGACAATATACAGAATGTTTTAGAATAAGAATTTTTGACATATCTAAACTAAATCACACTACTGTCCATTAAACCCATTTTCACAGCCTATCCTAATGGCACAGAAAATCACTCACTAGCACCTTCAAATATTATGGTGTATTCTTGAAAAATAGTTAAGCCCTCACTGCCATCTTTACTCCTCATCTTATATCAGTATTTTCTCATAGGACTAGTTTAATTATTAGTAGTGTTTTAAGATATTCAGAATTTAAGTTATATATCTACTTGGACAAAATCCTCATAATTGCAAGCACATAAGAAATAAATTTCATCAGGAAAGCAACTACAAGGTACAGCAATGGTACATTCCTGCTTAACTACCTAAGTTTTAAAAGTATCCTAATATATAAAAACCCTGGGTCGTAACGACCAGTAATGACTGAGGCTCAACCAACTCTAAGTCAGTCCTGAAGTCAGGCACAGTGCCCCAACACCGACTGCTGAGGGGGCTGCGAATTAAGGCCAGAGAGAGGCCTAAAGAGAGAGAAGCAGGAACTGATCCATTGCCTCTGAGGCAGCTTTTGATCAACACTTGCCTCTCTTTCTGAGTCTGGCCATCAGCTGAACCTCCATTTCTCTTCAATTTGGGACCCCTTTCTTATCTAGTGTACAGATAATTCTAAAATGTGACTTTTCTTTCCATTGGGGCTGCTGATCAGCCCCACCTTTCTGATCAGGCCCCTTTGATTGGCCCAGAGATGCTGACTAGCATAGGAGCCAACCAATCAGAACAATGTGGGTACTGTTAAGAACTAATGGCTGTTTAGGAGGTGGAGCTTTTGATGCTGACTGGCATAGAAACTGAACTATCAGAACCAAATTGGCCAGCAGAGGGGGTGAGATCAAGCTGGCAGGGTTGGGCCATTGGGAGCAAGATCAGGCCGGCAGGGAAGGGCAGTTGGGGACAACCAGGCTGGCAGGGGAGGACAGTTAGGGGCAATCAGGCAGACAGACAGAGGCAGTTAGGGACAACAAGGCTGGCAGGGGAGGACAGTTAGGGGCAATCAGGAAGACAGACAGAGGCAGTTAGGGACAACCAGGCTGGCAGGGGAGGGTAGTTAGAAGATATTGAGCAGGCAGACAGGTGAGCAGTAAGGAGCCAGCTGTCCCAGATTGCGAGAGGGATGTCCAATTGCTGGTTTAGATTGGCTCTAAACCGGCAGTTGGAAATCCCCCAAGGGGTCCCAAATTGGAGAGGATGCAGACTGGGCTAAGGGATTGCCCCCCCTCCCTACCTCCATGTACAAGTTTCGTGCATTGGGCCTCTAGTTTATCAATAAGCTTATTTTGAGAAAAAAACAAAACAAAACAAAAATACCTTGGTAAATAAAGTTATTTTCAGTAATAATCTGGCAAGAAGTGACCAGGATACAAGATATTACAAAATGCTATTCTATATCAAAAAGCATAAAGAATCTGAAAAGAGCTAGCTATGAATAATAACGTTGATTTAGTATTTATAATTATGTATTTCATTTATGTTGATATCAAATTTGGAATTTTTGCATTCAAGTTAAATGAATTAACTTGATTTTTAAAAAATAATTTCTATAGTTGTAAGGTAATAAATAATTTTTAAATGAATTCTTACCATTGGTAATAATTGCACTTGTGGCTGCAGAAACTTTAAACTAAGGGGAAGAAAAAGAAAATGATTTATATACACACACATACTCTGTAAAAGATGGTTAGTTGAACAAGAATAGTGTACAGATAATTCTAAAATGTGACTTTTCTTTCAGGATTAAGTCACATCATAAAATAAAGGGCTACTGTAAATTTGTTCTATTTGTTTAAAACATTATTGCCCTCTAAATACTACATTTCATTCTATTTAGAATACCATGAATCTTATTTTACTCACTGCAAAAACAAGACAAAAGTTCATTGTCAATAAATTTAGACTCAATCAATGTTTGCTCTTTCAGACTTACACATGTTGCTTTCTTTCATAAGCAAAAATAAAAGCAGAAGAATTGCTTATGACATTCCTGAGATTTCTTTGTGGAAGTAGTGAGTTCAAGTAAACGCTCCATTGTGTTTAACAGGAGGACAGCCGAGGCTTATTGTCCATCTTCAAATTCTCCTTTTAGGTTCTGCTGACTTAAATGTCACACAATGGCAACAATCTAATTATACCACCAGGAAATAATAACTAAGTTCAAGTACTGCAGGTGATATCAAGATAATTATGTGATTACTACATGGCTAACAGTGATAGTAAGACTCCACTGATCTAAATCAATGAAATGTGGTTAAGAAACTAGTAGCCAAAGTTAGAATTCTTCTCAATGCTCTAAAGACCAGCACTTGTCTTCATAATTCATTAATTTTTCCAAGTATTTACTATGCCCTTCTATGCTAAGGACAAGTTTTGTAAATATTATAGTTGAATTTATTGTAACCAAGTAACTATGGAAAACACTACTTTATATTGATATTATTTTCAAAATTTTCCAGTGTGCTGCTAATTCTTTAACACCAAGTTAAAATATACTTTAACTCCAAGAAGAAAATAGTGAATGAAGTTTTTCCCATACTTTTTGGCCACTGATCCACTTTTCATGGAATTGGTTTCTTTTTCTTTCTGGTGGTTTTAGTGCTTTAGGAACAATAATATGGGAAACACTGTTTTAGGTATTTATAATAGTCACATATGCATAATTGAGGAAAACAACAAAAAGTTTACTTTAACTTACAAAAGAATTCCATTTTAACCTGTTAACCGAGCGGGACGTATAAATATGTCAAACGTTAACAATATTGGGTACGGGTAGAACATATGAATACGTCCTTGAAATATATGTTGCGCCCTGAAATGGGCGGGACATATATTTCCGAACAACAAAGGTATTAGTCATCCATACATGTCTCGACATGAATTTAAGACATGGAGGGAATCAGTATAATTTCGCTATTGAGAGTGGTGGACGTGTTCTGGGTTAGCAGTGACGGGTACATACTTACACTTACCTACCTATTTTCGTATTATATATTATTTACTTATATTACTTATATCTCCAACCTTTATATAATAGAAAAACATATAAAATTGATTCAATCATCAATAATTTGTCAGAAAAGTTTAAGTTTTTATGTATGTGAACGAGAAATATACGTAGGTGAATCTCTTATTATGGAAAGGGAATTTATCTTGGAAACAATATATATCTACAAAAAGAGCTAGATTTGGAATGAAGTTGTTTATTTTGAGTGAAAGCCAATCTGGATATGTACAAAATATAATTTTATACACATGCAAGGACACAAATTATGGTTCGAACTACCCACAAGTAAAACAATCAACAAGAATTGTTTTGGAGTTAACACATGACTTACTGAATAAAGGGTATAGGATTTACTTAGATAATTTCTATACGTCAATTCATTTGGCTGAACACTTGTGTCAAAACAATACAGACATTGTTGGAACAATGAGGATAAACAGAGTCGGAATCCCCAGTGAAATAAAAACAAAAAAATTACAGAAAAATGAACATATAGTAAGAATCAAAGACAAACTTATGGTTTTAAAATGGAAGGATAAAAAAGACGTATTGATGCTCAGTTCTATTCGTAATGATGAAAAGACAATGATTGAAAAGAGAGGAAGAAGGCAAGAAAAACCGAATGTTATCCTGGATTATAACAAGAAAATGGGCGGTGTAGATTTGGGAGATGGAGTTATGGTGGCCCACACGGCTGCCCGTAATAGGGTAAAAAAATTTTATAAAAAATTTTTTCTACGATTAATTGATGTGCTGCTTCAATGCATATATTATATATATATATATATATATATATATATATATATATATATATATATATATAAAAAGATAAAGGTCATTTGGATGGGTTACACTTTTTGATAGAGTGTGTAGAGAAATTGGTAGATAACAACATAGTGAAAACCCCCCCAAAGACATCAACAAGCAGCTCTATATCTAAACCATCACGCTTAGTTGAAAGGCATTTTCCAGAACAAATGAAAAGTGATATAGGAAAAACTAAATCCAGGAAATGTCATTTGCTACAAAAAAGGTGTTAGGAAAGAATCTACATACTGGTGTCGGATTGTAAGGTAGCACTATGTATCAATAATTGTTTTAAAATATATCACACAGAAGTTGAGTTTTGAATTTTTACATCTATATTTCAATTTTTAAAATTCAATATTTCTATTTTATTTGTGTGCTTTTATTGTTCTGTAATTGTTAACTTTTTAATATTTTTATTGTGTATAGAAATAAAAAATATATATTTTTTGTAATCTTTATAATTGTTTGTAAAATTAATAATTTTTTAATTCGATGTTTCCATTTTTTTGTTGATATTCTTTTCTATTTGTTTGTAATTTTGTATTTTCCTTTGTGCTTTATATATAAATAAACAAAAAACATATATTTCATTTATTTTAATTAAGTATAAATAAATAAAATAATAATATAAAATTACGTCCACTGGGCGTGACATACTGACACATCCTAGAGAAAGAATATACGCCCATTGTATGTTGCATAATTAAAAAGGGAACTCCCCGGTTAACAGATTAAGAATGTAATTATGCATAAAACAATTGTTATAGGATTATGTACCTAATAAAAAATTTTACTGTTTATATGGTATATTCTTAGCTGTAAATGCCCTTTATAGATTGAAGAATTTTAACTAAACCTACTTTAAAATAACTTCAAAAATTACTAAGAGGTTGTACTACTTAGTAAAACTTTGATCAAATACCCAAATTAATTATAGAATGTCAGATTTCCAAAACTTGAATATTACAAAGTTTCTCGTTACCCTACTGAGTGTGTCTTATTCTTAGACTAGAGGCCCTGTGCACAAAATTCATGCACAGCGGGAGGAGGGACAGGAGGGTGTCCCTTAGCCCAGTTTGCACCTCTCCAATCTGGGACCCCTAGAGGGATGTCCGACTGCCCATTTAGGCCCAATCCCGGTGGGCAATCAGACATCCCTCTCACAATCCAGGACTGCTGGCTCCCAACTGCTTGCTTGCCTGCCTTCCTGATTGCCCCTAACTGCTTTTGCCTGCCAGCCTGATCACCACCTAACCACTCCCCTGCCAGCCTGATTGATGCCTAACTGCTCCCCTGCTAGCCTTTTGCCCCTGATTGTCCTCTCCTGCAGGCCTGATCACCCCTAACTGCCCTCCCCTACAGGCTTGATCGCCCCCAACTGTCCTCCCTTGCAGGCCTGGTCCCTTCCAATTGCCCTCCCTTGTTGGTTATCTTGTGTCCACATGGGGGTAGGATCTTTGACCAAAGGGGGACAGCTATCTTGTGTGTTAGAGTGATGATCAATTTGCATAATTACTCTTTTATTAGATAGGATAGAGGCCTGGTGCATGGGTAGTGGGGGCCAGCTGGTTTGCACTGAAGGGTGTCCTGTATCACGGTGGGGCTTCTTTGGGGTGTGGTGTGGCCTCGGTGAGGGGCTTTTGATGGTTTGCAACCCATGTGGAGGCTCTGGTATATGGGATTTATCTTCTACAATTGAAACTTTGTAACCTGGAGCAAAGCCAAACCTCCTGCTGGCTCCATGGAGGCAGCAATTTCTGTTGGTATTTATTTATCTCCTATAATTGAAACTTTGTAGCTTTGAGTGGAGGCCTCGGCCCGCCAGGATGTGTGGAAAGCTTGGCTTCCTCCTTTGCCGGGGAAACCCAAGCCTCCCTGCTGCTCCCCCAGTGGCCACAGCCATCTTGGTTGGAGTTAATTTGCATGCTTGCTCTTGCTTTGATGGTGGACGTGGCTATAGGTGGGTGTGAGTGTAGGGGAGTGATGGTTAATTTGCATATCACTCTTGTATTAGATAGGATTATGTCCATGTTAAGATAAAACAGGTTTTTTAGTACATCCATATAGTGGCAACATGTTTTATGAACATTAAAAATCAAAAGGAAACAGCTGATACCTCTTTTACTTTTTCCAGAATGTAAAAGCAACAGGAAAGCTAAAATTCAGGGAAGCATCACTAGTAAAATAAAATATATTAACTACTACTTTCATCCCAAATTACTGATAAGTTTCCTCATGGATGCAAAGTGTATTTTATAATTGTCAGTTTTCATTTATTTTCTTCCTTATTTCATAAGTTTTATAACTTACAATATGAAGAGGCTCTTCTCAGGCTTGGACAACTCACTACTTAAATTAACCCAGTCATGCAGTGGGAATTTTTTTATGTTTTTAGTAAAAGAACTTTACTAGGGATTTAAATCCAGACTCTGGTTTGTCAAGTCTTGTTCCTATTGAAATATTCTATAATGACATCTTGTGAAAGGCCTTCTCACTGTTAACTGAAAGTCATAACTTTTCTAAATATATTAGACCCATGATTCACAATAATTATAAGCTATAGTAAAGTTATTAATTTTCCACTGTATGCTTGTTAGGTTGTTCTTATTCTCACACTAAATGACCAGGATGAAATCAATGTTTTTGCCCTATAAAAAACACACCATAAAACAATTATAAAATAGGAAAATAAATGTCAGTATTGTAAATAATTATATTCTACAAGTAATATAAATAATTAAATATTATTTGTTATAATAAATAAATCATTGCAAATTTATAGTAAAATAAATTATTGTAAATTATTAAATTAGAATCTGTGGAATCTGCTATGTCCTAGGCCAGGTATATTTCTTGCAAGTTATCTGCATAGCAAAACATAATGATGCTCTATTCAGATTTATTTTCCATTTCTTTTAGCTTATTCTTTCTACCGCAAGAATAGATCAAATCTTACTATAAAACATGTACTATCATTTTTCAGTTTAATTCTGAATGAGTGATAAATGTTAGTGGTCCTGACAATAGTATGAGGAGCTATGAGTGCTGATAAGTTGTTTATTTTCCATTAATCACTTTCAATAGGATTATAGGTTAAGCTGGTTTCTTATTTAACTAAAATTATTTTTCCATAATTATAATTTTTTCCTGAAGATTATGAACCAAAATTTAGATTTGAATTACTGTGTACTAGTATAGCACTTTTAACTTCACTTACTTCCTTTTACAGATTAACAAATTTGAGGAAGAGAAACTGAGAAGCTTGCCTATGTCAAACAGATAGTGAATGACACATTTATAATAAGAACCTTAAGTCTCCAAGTCATATTTGGGTGCCGTTTCTACCCAAGCTACTCTTCCCCATGGCATGTCCAAAGAGTTGCTTTATAGATATCTCTAATGATAATTTTGAATGGAAATTTTTCTTAAAAAACAGAAAATAAAAATATTTTTTAAAAAATTAAGACACTTTTAAAAACAATTTTTACTGACACATAGACAAAAAATTTGAAAAATGAGATATTTTAAAAACTATAATTCTAGAATAAAAAGTAGTAAAAATGAATATGCACACTACAGTGATATGTTGCTGCTTAAAATTTTTTACATGTAATTGAATCTTTTCCATTTTAATAAAAATTTCCCTTATAATTCTCAATGGCTGCATTGGATATGTCAATTTAAATTCATTCTTCTTATATCTGTCAGTAAGTCTTAACTTTCATTCTACTTATATCAGTAAGTAAAGCTTAACTTTTTAATAGCATTAACCTAGTAATAAACCCACAGAGAAGTGGTGGGTTAAAAGTGATGCAAAATTAAGATTTTTGACATACACTGTCAATCTACATTCTATACAGATGGTCCCAATTTCTACACATACCTCTTCTGCTGCAAACTTTAAGACTGCTATGAAAGGTGTACTTTCAGGAACACTGAGTCTAAAAAAAAAAAATTAAAAATTATTTTTTTAAAAAGCTATTTTTTTTAAGTTCTTTGTTGCTCATATCAGCAATTTTAGCAGACCTAAACAAATCTGTCTTTTGAGTCTAAAGATATTTATTGCACACTACATCATGAATTCTAAAAAACCAACAATAAACAATTAGGCTTAAATTAGATTCTGCCCATAGATGTACTTGAATACCAACACCTATATAGGAGATTTATACATTTTTAATAGTTTGATACAAATAGATCTAGATATGGGATACTATTTGTTTCCAGAGATGGATTTTAAAAAGTTGAATCTCCCCTTAGTATTCAGTCCACACACATTTTTACTTAATGCAGAAATTCATTTTCATTACAAGGGCTACCTGGGAAAGCATCATCAGAACATAAATATTTTCATAATCCTTTCTGTGCACTTTTAATAATCAAGTCTTAAAGAGTAGACCAAGTTGCTGAAAATGAACATGTTTACTATGGCAAAATGTAAAGTCATTTCCCACAAAACTCTTACACCTCCTCAGATCAAGGGCTTAATACAATCTGAAATAACATTTGGAGAGTAATGTATGATTTTGTTACTGACTTGTACAACATCAAATGTATTACAGATTGCTGATGAGTGACCTGTGAATTTTCCAATTTAAATACTTAAAAAAAATGATATTATTCCCTTATAAACACAGAAGGTAACAAAAGAAATATAATGTTCTTAAGGTTAAATGAGTTATAATCATTAAAGACAGAAAAACATATTCTTTTTCATAGCAGGAAAAAGACTTATAACCTAACATTTACCTTTGAAACTTGTCTATCTGTAACCACTCCATTATTCTTTAATGTTTTAATACCAACTTCCATTATGTAACATTTTCACATATAAATACCATTTCTTAGTGTACAAATTGAATAGAAAAATCATTATAGCTGACACAGTGCATTATAATGACTTCAGTATGTGTGAATAGTTTGGCTGCCCCAACTCCTCTAAAATCCAACTAAAAAGTGAAAATAGTTATCACTGTTTTTACCTTTCTTTAATTTTCTGGGGGGCAGGAGAGGAGGAAAAAAAATTTCTAAAGGGTAGGCACTGTTTAAAAATTATCTAGTAAGTTGGCAATATGATAGTTTACAAAGTAAGGAACAGAACTTGCAAGTATTTTTGCATTACATTATAGTTTAGGTCCTGAGATTCATCCTCAAAAGGACACGTTCTAAAATCTTAGGGTTTTGATTCCCTTTTTAAATGGAGACTGGAAACGTCTTTGTAAGTAGATTTTATATTGATATTCACTAAAATAAACTTCCACTTATGTAGTTGGGACTTATGCAAAGGCAATGCAATAAAACAGAAAATACTTTTTAATGTATGTTTTATGTGACAGAAAATTACAGAGGAACTCAGAGTTACTGTGACACCATCTAGATTTGAATTTGTCTTTGCCAGTAGCATCATTTTTGTAAAACAGCAGTTACACATTATACTGGTGTTTTGAAAAAAGGGAAAGAAGGGGCACTCTATTATGTATATTAAAGTGAATTTTAAAAATAAATCAAAGGTAAATCTGTTTTAAAAAAATGTATATTTCATATAAAGAGAACTATGACACAACTTAAATGCTGTCATAAAGAATACGAAAAAAATTTCTATAGGAAATGAAAGAAGGGGGAGATGAATTCACTAGACAATTATAGAAATCTGGAGAGGTAAATTTTATTTTTAAAGGGTTTTGTTTGTCAGGAACTGGACTGCATTCCTGTCAAAGAAAAGAACATGTGTAAAAAGCAAGGAGAGTTAAAAAAGACTTGCTTTTCAATTTAGGAATACAGTAACTGATGCTTTGTTAAATGATGATGGAAGTAAGAAAGGAGAAGTTGGGAATTAAGTCTGGAAAGACTGGAATCAGACTAAATGAGGCAAATGTTTTTTAATTCATCCTTTATTTAAAAGAGAATGCTTGATTTCAACATTTCTATAACCTAGTAATGACACCAACAGTGACTGTATCAACAAACAAAAACACTGAAAACTCTGATAATGCTCAGAATAAATTTAGAATTGAAACATCTTTCATAGAATTCAACTATTAGTAATGTTAGAAACTCAAAAGAAAGTTTTTCTATCAAAGTATGTTTATTAGTTAAAGAATGTTTTCCCATAAATCTTAAGAAGTTGCTTTTACTAAGGCTAGTTACAATTTACTTTGAAACAGGATAACTACCTTTACATACACAGGTACATATATTATGCATACTTTACTCATAAACACAACTACACACACTAAATAATAGATATGCCTATTAAATTCATCCAGTCACCCATAATAATTGAACTGGTACAATGTTCCAGCCACTTATACTGATGCTATCCTGTCCTGTCCTCTTTCTCTCTCCATCTTCTCAGAATTTCTTTTTTAAAGCCTATTTATATATTTATGAGAATAATTCAATATAAAGGGAGAAATCAAAGATGAAGAGAGGGTGATCTTTAGACTCTGCTTTAATCTTGAGAAGACTGAAACAAGTAAGATGCAGAGCCCAAATGGTACAACTGGCTTTTCATAAGTCATGCTGATGGTTTCTAATCCAACATGATTATAGACAGAAACCACAAGTTTACACATAGTGATAGCTTTATAGATGTAATGGAAAAAGGAGAGAAATTTCCTCTGATGGCTTGACGGAAATGAAGAAAGGAATTGTAGGAAGCGTGAAAATACATTAAAAAAATCCTTTCTGAGAATAAAGAGGAAAATATGCAAACTTGGAAAATGTAGCACAGTGTTGGCTACTATTGAGCATAGTTATTAATTTTATGTCAAACTCATCAATCTAATTATGTAATTTTTTCCAGGAACATTCAGGTCTATACAGAAAAGTTCAGAATTGGTGTTTCACCAAGTGCTTGGAGTGAAATATACTGGAATTTGGGGGTTGGGAACAATCAGAGTTGAGGGTATTTGCAAGACAGTGACTCTAAGCTGGATAAGAAGTTGGGTAAGGTAGGGAGAAGAGGAAAATGTTAAAATGAAGTCTCATCAATGAATGAAAAGAAACATTTTAAAGAAGAAATATTAGAGTAAGTCAGAAGTAAGAATACAATGTGGTTAACCGTAAGAGTGTTTAAAAATGGCATTTTATAGGTGGAGTAATTACTTAAGATTAGGCAAAGAGATTCATTTGGAGATAAAACAATTGAGAAAGAGAAAGGCTAGGAGATTACATAGGTCCCAGAGAGCTAGATAAGACTGATAACAACTGTTATAGTTCAATTAGGTAGGCTACGACAATAATTACTTATTAACTAATAAATATTAATTATATATAAAATCCTATTTAAGACCTGTTCTTTGTTATATTTTATATGGCTTTCAGCTGCAATGACCGTAATAATGCTTACCTACAATCATACAAAGGTCTGAAGAATCCGGGTTAGAAGGTCCAGATTAGACACATGCTAACTGCTAAAGGCTAAGCAAAGGATCCGCATGAATAAATTGCCCTATTTCTGTATTTCCCATTTTTACTAATCACTCTTTTCTAAACCCCAACAACATTAGGATATGATTTAAGGCTCAGTATTTCGTGATGCCCAAGTCGTGTGTTCCTTATACACAACAAGAATCAGAAGCCTGTAAGGAATAAACGTTTAAGTAGTTTCGGAATCTGGATTGAGATGTCTTCTTTTACTTCCTCTAACAGATGGTCAAAGTCGTGAAAGGCCTTTCTAATCTCCAGGAGACTGGGCCTGCTGAAGGATTCCAGTCATCACCAGAGCCCTGTGCAGTCCACAAAGTCCTCCCCAGCCACCACCACCAAGTGAGTTCCGAGCAGCAAGGTTCCGGTCACACACCCCTGCACCCTGGAGCTGGGGCAAGTTGACACAAGGGGAGAGGTCCAGGATGCCTCCTCTCATTTACAAGTGGGAAGCCGGAGGCTCCCGAGAGGGCGCGGGTAGAGGTGCAGGGAAGGAAAGGAAAGGATGTGGGCTGCTGGGGTGGGATGCCGGGCTCCATCCAGCCCGGATCTACTCAGCCACCGCAGGGAGCTACTCACACTTTGTAGGGCAGCCGCGGGTCCGACGTCAGCGTGATCTTAAAGGAAACCTTGGACCTGAGAAAGAGCGGAAAGAGTTAAGGGCGGGCAGTGGCATCAGGATCGGGGAGGATGAAGGTAAACATTTACATGGTGAAGCAGGCCTGGACTAAGACGCCAACTTCCTTCAGTAGTCCCACTTCCGCCGGGTTCCGGAAGGGCTCTTCCACGCTTAGGTCCCAGGCCCTGGCAACTGGGACCTCCAAAGTTGCTGTTGTCCAAGGCACTGCCTGAAAAATTGGCATCTGATGCTCATCTAGGCGGAGACTCCTAATTACAAATACCTACTGATTTAGCATTTACATATCTTAAAAGAACGTGTGGATTATATGAAATTAATATTTTTACAAATGCTTTTATTTGCTGCCGTATTTCTGTCAGGCACCACAAACGGGGGTAGGATTTTTGGGCTCAGCGGGTCTTTTCGGAGGAAGAGGTGCCTGGCGGGGCTGGGCCCTCCGAAGTTGTTCAGATGTCCTGGGGGCTGAGAAGTTCAAGTAAATCCTCACCTGACTTTAGTTTTAGCGGTGATACCCGGGTGGTGTGCTGTAAGAATTTTAAAACATGTAATAAATACCTGGCTACTTAGGGGCACTGATCTTTTTTTCCCTTAGATTGTCAAGGCCAACACAGCAGGAGCCTTCTACAAATTATACTTCTTTTTTTTTTTTTTTTTAAATCAAATTGGCAAAAAATATATTTTTTGGTGTGCCACAGGATTTTAGTAATTTATGTGGGCCATGAGATGAAAATAGTTGAAAGTCACTGGTATTAGTGTCCTTTTGCCTTTTCAGCAACCTGATCCTGTTAAATCATTTAGAGTTTTCATATTGTTTTCCTTCACACTTTACTCTGCAATACTAATGTCAATTTAATTTGCACAGGTAAGAGAGTAAGTAGGTGATAAAGACAAGATCCTGCACTCAGCAACTTGAAGTCTAGCTGGGAAGATTTAAACCAGGGCACTAGGTTGCGGATTTTGCCACATTTATTCAGTTTAACAACACATTTTTAATTCTTTCCATGTTCCAAGCACTGAGGCTAAAAGCAAGAGATGTCAGGATAAATAGGAAAGCTAGCTGCCAATCCTCTAGGATCTGTCAGAAGTTTTTGTATAGTGTGGGAAGATAATGTATTTCCTCTAAATATTACAAATCTCAGCATCTGTGTTTAAAAAATAAACATGCTTATCACAATGTCTGCAGTGGTCTTTTTAAGAAATATTGTTTACAGATAGGCATTGAAATAATGAGGGAATCTAGTTAATCTTTAGAATATTTTTTGAGATTTTTTTCTTTACGTTACATCCATCCCCATGACTTAATTATTTTATAACTGAAAGTTTGTACCCTTTGAATTTCTTCAACCATTCCCTCAGATATTAAGCTGATATTAATATTTACAACTTTGTTTCATTTTTTAGATTTCACATGTAACTGGATCATACACTATTTGTCTTTCTCTCTGACTTATTTTACCCAGTATAAGTCCCTCATGGTTCTTCCATGTTGTTGCAAATGGATTATATTTTTTTATGATTGAATAGCATTACATTGTGTGTGTGTGTGTGTGTGTGTGTGTGTGTGTGTGTGTGTATAGATAAAATTTTCTGCCAGGGCTGACTGACAGACCCAGAGCACAGGTGAATGATTACTCTGACACAGCCTCGTTCACCTGGCTCCTTAGGCTTTTATTGTAATAACAGTTTGAACTAAAATTAACTTCTAGGTACTACCAGCAGGGTAAATATCCTTGAGAAGACATGCATCTGCAGTGTCCTTTACGCAAGGACACCTAAAGACTAAACATATTCTAGTAAAACACCTGGGGGCTCAGACTTGTTTGGAAAAGTCAAGGCAGGGTCTGCTATCTTCAGCAAGGTCCTTCTGACATTTCAGAGATTTCCAATCAAGTCCTATGCTTCCCCACAATTTTCTTTAATGGATATCATGTTATGCATATTTAAGGGTTATGGGAATTTCATCTTTGCCATAATTTTGCAGTTTACTACTCTTCTATTATCACATCTCCCCATAAAAAGAAAGAAGATTCTGACTAGAAAAGTAAAACTCCAACATTCTCATGACAGTCCTTGTCTTATTTTTTTAAAAGTATAAATGTTGCCATATATAGAAAGAGATAGAAGCATATGTTGATTGATAGATTTTGGGATCAGCATTTATAATATTAATAGCTGAGACAATGGGATTAGTTGGTGTGACTAAAATATTTTAGAATAGCTATAAGAAGAAATGTGTTTACCTGGTGTCAAATAACAATGAAGAGATTAGAGTACATCTTTGTCATTTCTATTTCTAAGGACACATATCCTCTCACACCACCACTCACCAAATGAGTTTCAAGGGCACAGAATAGCGGCAACATCCAGGTCACACATACATGCACCCTGCAACCAGGACAAGCTGACACTTGCTTATATCTTTAAACAACATTTGGATCTTTTATAGTTTTGTGATTCTATTTATACTAAATGCTTAACATAATATCTAGCATTAGCACGAGATAAATTTTGATCCATTAATATTCTCTTTGCTGACCTAAATAAAATATTCTCAAAAGAAGACAGAAGGAAGGTCAAAAGGCACATGAAAACATGTTCAAAGTCACTAATTATCTGAGAGATGCAAATAAAAATGACAATGCGGTACCATCTCACACCTGTCAGAATGGCTATCACCAACAAATCAGCAAAAGACAAGTGCTGGTGAAGATGTGGAGAAAAAGGAACCCTTGTGCACTGCTGGTGGGAATGCAGACTGGTGTAACCACTGTGAAGAACAGTATGAAGTGTCCTCAAAAAACTGAAAATGGAACTCCCACTTGACCCAGTAATCCCACTCCTAGGAATATATCCTAAGAAACTAGAAACACCAATCAAAAAAAATATATGCACCCCTATGTTCATAGCAGCACAATCTACAAAAGCTAGGATTTGGAAACAGCCTAGATGCCCGTCGGCAGATGATTGGATCCAAAAACTATGGTACATCTACACAATGGAATACTATGCTGCCATAAAAAAGAAGAAATTCTCATCATTGCAGCAATCTGGATGGAATTGGAGAACATCATGCTGAGTGAAGTAAGCCAGTCAATGAAAGAAATACACTACATGATCTCACTCATTTATGGATAATAAGGAACATTATAAACTGATGAACAAAAAGTTAGATACAGAGACAGTAAAGAAACAAACAGAATGTCAAATTACAGTGGGAGGGTAGGGAAACATGGGGGATATAAGAGATCAACCGAAGGACTTGTATGCATGCATAGAAGCATAACCAAATGGAGGAAAAACTATGGGGAGGGAGGGCATGTTTGGGAATGGGGGTGGGTGGGGATTGGTAAGGTATGTACACATATAATATCTTAATAAAAAATATTCTCATTGCTCAATTATATCAGCACCCCTTACAGGATTGTAGGCTGAGAAAAGGTAATAGAGGGGAAAATGATCAAATTGAACACAATAAAAATATTACCTTATTATTAATTGTTCAGGCTACATTTTGTTTCCAATATGAAGTGTTTGGAGTTTAAGATCCTAAGATTTATATCCCAGTATAAACTTCCCAGGATTACATAATTGAACTGTCTGGTGATTTTAGTCAGTCATAAATACAATCAACTTAAGGTGAAAAAGTTTGGAAGGAAATTCATTTTTGCACCCAAATCTGACATGTTTTCACTTTGCTTAAAGCTGGTTACAGAAGACATATGATTTTACTTACATGTAGAATCTAAAAAATAAAATAAACACATAAAATAGAAACAGACTGAGAAACAGATAACAGACTGACAGTTAACAGTGGGGAAATGGTTAGGGGACTGATTTAAAAAAGGTAAAAGGATTAAGCCATACAAGTTGGTAGTTACAGAATGGTCATAAAGATGTAGATTATTTTATACATGGGGAATATAGTCAATATTGTGAGAATCATGTATGGAACCAGATAGGGGCTTAAAAATTGGTGGGGGACCACTCTGAAAGTATAGGATTTCTAATCACTGTGCTGAGTATCTGAAACTAATGTAGAATAATATTGAATGTAAACTGTCTTTGAAAAATAAATAAAAGAAATAACTAGTAAAAATTTTTTATAACCATGTAAGCAAATCATTTTTCTCCTTATGTAAATTTAATTTTCCTCAATTATCTCTAATAATGAGAAACATATTTTTCTTGCAAACAGAATATTGGTATGCTTCATTGACATTTAATGAATTTTAATGTGGTCACACTGTATACTTCTACTACCATTTCAATCACTGCATGATACTAATTGGATCCCTTCCAAGACAGATTAGGCTGTTTATGCTGTTTGTTGTCCTAAAATATTAATTTGCCAATTACCTTGTAAAATCCAGAGTTTGCTTTTGTTTACAGGTACTAAATATACTTCATTTCAGTACTTGAACTTTTCAGTAAATAATATTGTCCTTCTTGTGTTACATTTGTCAAATTTTGCTAAATTTGTGCACTGGTTGGGGGGAGGGGGAGCTTTCAGCCCAGCCTGTGCCCTCTCACAGGGGATGCCTCTCAGGCGATGTCCAACTAATGGCTTAGGCACGCTCCCCACAGTCAGACATCCTTAGCACTGCCTTGAAGGCAGAGAGGCTCATGGCACCACTACTCTAAGCCCAGCTTCTGGCTGAGCGGTGCTCCCCCTATGGAAACACACTGATCATCAGGGGGCAGCTCCTGTGTTGTGTGTCTGCCCCCTTGGTGGACAGTGTGTGTCATAGCGATCAGTCATTCTGCTATTGGGATGAAACCAGTTCTCTGACATCTCCCAAAGGGTCCCAGATCACAGAGGGTGCAGGCCAGGCTGAGGGACCCTACCAGTGTATGATCAGGTCCAGGGAGGATGTGAGAAGTTGACCATCTGGGGAGGGATCACAGCAGGGCTCCAGGGCTTGTCAGACCCATCTTGCTCAGTCTCTATCAGTAGCAGCCCAGCAGCAAGCTAACCCTGGTGGTCAGAACACATCATAGCGACTGGCCTACCAGTTGACTGTCTGCCCCTTGGTGGTCAGTGCACATCATAGCGAGCAGTTGAGCAGCCTTAGCATATCATTAGCATGTTACTCATTGATTGGTTGAATGGCCAATTAAATACAGACACTTAGCATATTAAATTTTTTTGATACAAGAAAAATAAAACTCAGAAAGCTCTAGAAATTATGCAGTGACTGAGGAGACAAACATATGGGGGGAAGA